GAGGACCAGTAGTCATTGGGGGAGTCCCTGTTCCCTGAGCACTGCCAGGAGTGACCAGAAATAACAGTCACAAGCTGGCAGAGGGTAAATTCAGTTTAGATGTCAGGAGGCGCTACTTCCCTGTCAGGGCGGCTAGGATCTGGAACTAACTTCCAAGAGGAAGTGGTGCTGGCTCCTACCCTGGGGGTCTTTAAGACAAGGCTTGACAATCACCTTGCTGGGGTCGTTTGACCCCCCCCCCAGTACTCTTTCCTGCCATGGCAGGGGGTTGGACTTGATGATCTGCTCAGGTCCCTTCCGACCCTAGAAACTATGAATAGAAAATGAGGGTTGGAAGGGACCTCTAAGTTGGAAAGGACCATCTAGTCCAACCCCCTGCTCAAAGCAGGACCATCCTCAACTAGATCATCCCAGCCAAGGCTTTGTCGAGCTGGGTCTTCAAAACCTCCAAGGATGGAGGCTCCATTGCCTCTGAGTAACCTGTTCCAGTGCTTTACTACCCTCCTACTGAGAAAATGTTTCCTAATATCCAACCTAAACTTCCCTTGCTACAACTTGAGACGGTTGCTCCTTGTTATGTCATCTGTCACCACTGAGAACAGTCCAGCTCCATCCTCTTCTGAACCTTCCTTCAGGTAGTTGAAGGCTGCTATTACATCCCCTCTCAGTCTTCTCTTCTCTAGACTAAATAAGCCCAGTTCCCTCAGCCTCTCCTTATAAGTCACGTGCCCCAGCTCCCTAACCATTTTTGTTGCTCTCTGCTAGACTCTCTCCAATTTGTCCATATCCTTTCTGTCGTGGGGGGCCCAAAACTGAATACAGGACTCCAGATGTGTCCTCACCCATGCTGAATAGAGGGGAATAATGAGTTGAGTGGAATGTTATTACATAGAAAGTTGCTTTCTAGGGAGTTTTCCTCTCAGAGTGTTTTTGTAATGTTTGAACTGGAGCAGGGTTTTTTCCCTGTCCTTCCCTCTCACTTGCAGCCTCCACCATTAAAGGTCCAGGCAGCTCTGATTCAGGGGCTGTGCTCCTCACACCCATGCTTGATAGCTGATGCCCCTTTCGTCCAACCTGTTGTTGGTTATTCTAGTTCATGGGAGAAATTGGTGATGGAATCAGGCTTCATTGGTATTTATTTGCAAGAATATTGAAAGCCCTGCTTTCTTGAGCACAGGAAAAAGCGAACAACCAGATACAGTGACCCTACCCTACAAGACAAGAAAGCTCTGTCCTACAAGACCCTGAATTGTAAGGGGCTTTATGTCCCTTCCAGTCAGCAGCTTGATCCAAGGACCAGGATCTCAGCCCAGAACTCTTAAGCCCCCATCTTGTGTCCTGATCACACAACCATCTCACTGCAGAGCCCTCTGCAAGCCTGGCCAGCTCACACCACCCCTCAGTTCCCAGTCCTTACAATGGAGTTCCCAGCATTTAGTTTATCACAGGGGTAGGAGATTCCTTCATCTGTAATGCATTTAGAAGGGAAATTCAGATGTGAGAGATCACTAAGTATGCTGCCTTTGCTGCTGTGAACCAGGTGGGCATGCTTCATCAGCAAACTCAAGTGGAGGTGGGTGAAAGTGTTTGTACAAGTGAGGAATGCTTCTGCAGTCAAATTCCCACCAAGGATTCCCTGGGATGCTGCCCCCAACCTTTTCTGCCTTGGCAGGGGGTGTACAGTACCAGGAGTCCCACACAAGGTATAAGGATGGAGAATGCACAAGAGAGCCCCTGATGGCCCCATTGGTCTCTGTAGAGTAGAGGAACCAGCAGGGGCAGAAAGGCAGTTGCATGCCTATTATTTGTGTTCAGGAAAGTTTTCTTCTGATCCTCTCTCTCACTCCTTGTTTCCTAGAGTTCTTCGGAAATTCCATTATCTGCTCAACCCCAGACAAGTGTACAACCTGGACCGAGGGGGACCAACTCCTGGGTAAGCAGGTGCACTGTTCAGCTACTAAGCAGTTCCCACCCTCCTACACCCCTTCCTTCCTGCCTCCCCTCCATTTTCTGCTCTTTTCCCTGCCTCTCTTCCTCCTCTTCCCCCACCTTCCCAACTACAAACTCCTTTTTCTCCATCTTCTTACACTTTCCAGATTGAATTTTTTCCACGACACCCCAGACTTTCGTGTTTTGGCCTGTGGAGGGGATGGGACGGTCGGATGGATCCTGGACTGCATAGGTAACTAAGGATCCATACTGCTGAGTTGTGACTTCACAGACCACAGGCCTGGAAAACTGGTTGAGACCTTACAGTGGAGCTGTCCTGGACCTTGGAGCAGACCTGCACTGAGAGAAGGACTTGAGAATTATTATTATCCCTTTCTTGCTTGTGCAGTTGGCCAAAATTCAGGATAGAGTGGGTTATTTCCCTTAGGAGGTGTCATTGGTGATGGAGCCAGGTGTGTGATTGATATAATCCTGTGTATTTTTCAAATAATGTTCTTATAAAGACCTGTTCCTCTCAACAGGCAGCAGGAGACGGATCCTTTGCTTATACTTCTAAGCCCCTTTCCAGCCAGCACTTAGCCTAAAAGCTCTCCCTCTGACTTTTTCTCCAAGCCACGTGTCCAGTGGTAGTTTTGGCTTTCTGGTGCTTCTGTCTCAGCTCCTCTGCTGTTCCTCCGGCTTCTGTCACAGAGACAAGTAAATGTATCTCCACCAAGCAATATCCAGAGAGCTTTCTCTGCCCTTGCCTGCCTGTGTTCAGCGCACAGATGTGCCTGCATTTTGGGTAGAGGCTAATTTTGTTTTAGGTGCGTCATTCCTTAAAGGAGATCAGCTGGTTCTTATGTCAGCCAGTTTAGCTGCGATTTAATCCAGCCCCTAATGCTAGCAAGTGAGGGCAAGGAGGCGCCTCTTCTTCTCCTGAGCTTCCATGTCTCCTATTTGCCCTCTAGCTGCTTTCCTGCTGCCTTATTGCTACACATGCCTGCCTCCTGCTGCCAGCTTCATCTTCTGCTTTATGGCTCTTTTTTATTCTCTGCTGTGGCCCCTCAGTCCCACCAGTGGAGCAGAAGGGAGATGCTGGTAGGGAGGGGAGGAAAGGCTGAAGAACATGAATGGGACGTTCCCATTCATGCTCTTCAGCCTTCCCTCCCGTTCCTATCAGCATCTTCTTCTGCTGCATGAGAGCTGGGTTTTCTGCAGGGAAGCCCCCATGGCCAAGGAAGCCTGCTTCTACCCGCATGTGCCCATCCCTCCACATGGTCCACGCACTCCCTGAGCTCACCTTCTGCACTCTGGAAACTGTAGTGTTGTTTATGTCCTGAGCCTCATCTGCCTCTTGTGTGATCAGCCCAGTGCCCGGCTGCAGCCTGTCCTCCTTGGGTTGAGGCCACAAAGGAAGAGAATCACCCAGGTTGCCCCAGGAGGGATTGTCCTTTTAGCTGCCTCTCCAGCCTCGGTGCTGTTTTGGGTGGGTGGGTGGCTGGCTGGGTTCTGTCCCAGGGCTGCCTGCTTGTAGAGAGCCTCTGACACCTGTTTCTGTTTGGGCTGCAGACAAAGTGAACCTACCGAAGCACCCGCCTGTGGCCATCCTACCACTGGGAACTGGCAACGACCTCGCGAGGTGTCTGCGCTGGGGAGGAGGTGAGGCATCATGACCCCTCTAGTGCTATCTGGCTGACAGGGCTCTGCCCATTCAGCACTTATGCATCCTGAGACATGCCCACATGCCTCTTGCTTTGTGTTCAGAGGCCAAACACTCCCTTCAGAGGTGCGAATGGACACAGGGCACAGACAGCCTCAGTAACTTGCCATCAGGACACACATTTTGTGTAATAACTTTGTGGCTTATTCCTCATTTGATCATTCCATTAATTGAATGAACATGTGGCCAGGTCACTACTGGAGAGTTTAGCCAGTTAACCATGTCTCAACTGTAATGTCTGCCAGGGGCCTTAGAGTCAGCATGTGCCTAGCGGTCTAGCTGCAAGCTTTCTCTTAACACGGTTAACCATGGTTGGCAAATAGTCACCCTGCATCAAGCCAAAAATTTACCCCTACTTAATCACCAGAGATGCAGCTGGCCCCAGGAGAGGGCAGACTCCAGGATTCAGATCCACGTGCGCTCACAATGGACTTTTCTTCTCCCGCCCCCTTTGTCCTCTCATCTCTCCTTAAATAAATCAATCCAGCTGGGATAGCAAAGGGCTTTGAGACCTGTTTGTAACTCCCTGTAATGGGCAGTATACATGCTGGTTATACAGGGATTACGTGGCTGGGATAATAACAAGGAATTCTCTTTGCCAGTGCCATAAGAGGTGATGCTACTCTTTGTGGCATGTGGTGGCACTGAGCTGTGTTACCTAAAAGCACAGTTCTCCCTGAGCACCCACAAGCACCCTCATCCACTACATCCCCTGGGAACCCTAAAACCAGCAACCTCCAAGTTAAACTCTTGCAAGCAGGGAGTGCTCTCTTGGCAGCTGGTCCAAGACCCTGGCACTTCCTTCCTTCCGGAAGAGGAGGAGGTGAGAATGACCACAGAGCTTTCCGCCTGCACAGTGAAATGCTAGCCTTGTAGCGTGGTGTTCCCACAATGGCAGCAACCATCTCTTAGCATGGAAAGGTGGGCTAGTTGTGCACACCCAGGCAGCTGTGGAGGAGGAAGAATTATAGTCCCCTCAGTGTACTCACATTTGAGAGAGTGGGAAACGCACATCCCATGGTGATAGACACAGGAGACAAACCCAGATAGAGAGCTGGGCATTGAGGCCACCATGAAGCATACATGGTTCTAGCGTAGCTGTTACCCATTTTTAAATCATCCTTAAGCCCGCGATGGCCAGTCCTCAGCACCTCATGTCCTGGAGATGTCACAGGGGTGGCTCTGGAATGTGTACAGTGAGACCAAATGAGCCTGGGGGGTGGGGTAAGTGTGAACCACATACATCCTTTGCCCTGCAGGAGACTATTCCTGCTTGAGTCAGTAGAATGCTCATAAAACTTGGCCCATGGGGGTTGCAAACTGGGGCCCATTTGGTTCTACAGTTTGACATGTGATTCAGGTTGCAAAAACATCATCCCAGCCAAGGCTTTGTCTAGCTGGGTCTTCAAAACCTCCAAAAATGGAGATGCCACCACCACTCTGGGTAACCTGTTCCAGTGCTTTTCCACACCCCCCATGAGAGAGTTTTTCCTTCCATCTAAACTCAGCTTCCCTTGCTGCAACTTGAGCCCATTGCTCCTTGTTCTATCATCTGCCACCACTATAGTCTAGCTTCCTACAATCCAGCCTAAATCCCTTGTGGTGATTTAAACTCATTATTTCTGGTCTTTTCCCCTGTGGACACAAAGAATAGTCCTGCCCTCCTCTTTATAATAACCATTTAAAAAAAATTATTATCAAGTCCCTCCCCATGATCTTCTTTTCTCCAGACTACATAGTTCCAGTTCTTCCAAACTTTCCTCATACCCCTAATTATTTTTGTCACTCTCCTCTGGGCTGGTTGGTCCACATCTTTTTTGAGGTGCTGTACCCAAACCTGGACTTCTTACCTGGCTTTAAGGTGAGAAAGTGACCCCAGTGTACCGTAAGTGCACATCCTCCAGATCTGGAGTCAGATGTGCTACCATTGTGCCATAAGACACCTAAAAGCACGTGTGTGCGACTGGGGTGGGGGGCTGAGCCCTGATAACTCGGGAAGGTGCTGCCCACTGCCTGGTTTGTTGCACTGAGTGAAACCTACTGAGAAAACAAGCCACTTGCTGTGAGCAGAAAATGAACCTGCACAGAGAAACCCCACTGGATTTCAAGTCCAGTGCCTTAACCATGTAGCCAAATGCAACTTTTAAGGACACATATGTTACCACTCAGGAACTGTCCTTTGCAGAGCATCTGCCCAGACTGTAGCTCTTTGTGTCTCCAAACATGGTGTTTCTCCCTGGATGGGGAGGAGAGCTGGTCCTGTCCACTCTTTACTCTGCTCATTGCCATGTCCTGCTGAATGCCACAGACCCCCTTCACCACCCTACAAAACTGCTGCTTCTGTGCCAGCAACCTCATTTACTGCTGAGTGCTGCCTACTGCCAGTGACGTACTGGTCACTGTCTGGTTCCATCTGCTCCCAGCACTGGTCTGTCACTGCACTTGCTGGTCAGGTGTCCCTTGCTGGTGATACCCCCTGCCCTGGTCACTTCCGTGCCCTACCAGCCAGCACTAACTCCATGTACACACAGGTGGCTAGGCTGTACTGTGTCCCTTCTGACATGGCACTACCCACCTGCCTCTGCTGGCTCAGCATAGCACTGGGCTTCATCTCCTACCTCAGCCCTAGTTGCAGACTGTGCAAGTGTCACCACTGCCACCAAATCTACAGCCCATTGAGCTGCATCTCCCATCTGCGCCCAGAACCCCCACCGAGGCCTGACTCCTGCTGGCATTGCCCATTGCCCATCTGTACCTGCCACTCTTCAGTTAAGAGTGACCCATGGCTGTTTTTCCCCTCCCAAGGTTATGAAGGTGGTAATTTGATGAAGGTCCTGAAGGACATTGAGCATAGCACCGAGATCATGCTGGACCGGTGGCGAATTGATGTGATCCCCAACAACAAGGAGGAGAATGGGGACCCTGTCCCATACAGCATCATCAACAACTATTTCTCCATTGGAGTGGTGAGTAACCCAACAGTCCCCTTTCCCACAAGGAAGCACCCAGTCTGGCTGAGGTAGGGTCAAGAGGAATTCATTGATCCTGGTTGCTGGCAGTAGTTGCACACTAGGTCCCCCAGCACATGCTGTACTAGTGATTTGTCCCAAGCCTTCATGCCAGCCACAGAGTTATTATGTTTTTTTTGTGTAATAATGCTGTGGCTTTTATCACGCCATTAATTGAAAGAATGTGTGACCAGGTCACCGCTTAAGACATGATGTCTTAAGTGTAATGTTTGTCAGGAGCTTTAGAGTCGGTGAGTGACTTTATGCTGGGTCATAAACGGAGTGACAAGGTGTTACACGATGTTAGTTCTTGGATGTCTTTTTGGAGCGGCAGTGGAGCATAGGGCTGGAAAGGGCCTTCCTGGCTACTGAGCCCAGGCTCCTGCTTGCCAGGAGCTACTGGCACAGCGCTGTCCAGAACTATAGAATACAATACAGTCCTGGAGCCCTACAGCCCTTGCTTATGTTGAGTAAACCTTGTTCACACAGGCCATCCCTCTGAAGCTGATTAGAAATGTGTCCTTATTGTGTAGTGTCATTTGTCAGTCCAGACCCTTCATAGAGCTAAGTGAAGATAACTTTCCAGGGCTTGTCTACACCAAGATGGCAACAAGTCCTGGCAGTGAGGGGCACGAACTCACCCTGCCTATGTCCTGATCACCTACTCCAAACCTGGAAGTTACCCATGAGGCTACCCCAGGTTTGTCCCTCTGTGGCCATTCTCAGGTCTGACATAGATCAAGAGAGTAAGAGCAACCAGAGAGAGAGAAGCCAGGCACATCCAGACTGGCCAACTGCCTAATTTGTAGTGTGTTTGCAGGCATGGGTCAGCAGCTGGTGACAGGACATGCTTGGGCCTCTCTATGCCAGGACTCACTGCTGTGTGGGATAGACAAGTCCCCAAGAGCCTCACCAAAGTGGGACTGCTGCTGGCCCTGCAGGCTGGGGGGTACAACAGTCTGGGGAGCAGGCTGAGTTTCCTACGGGACCGTTGTAGAGGTGGAAAGCTCAGGTGCTTAACGCTGACCGTGTTCCACCTGTGAACTACTAACTCCCTCTCTATGCTGACCTGGGGAAGCCTGGTCCGAGCCTGGGCTCGCTGAAGGATAACAAGCTCACTGAGAACCACAGAAATACTTTAATCAGAACGGATTTTGGCCCAGTCTCTATGCCTGGCTGCTTCTAATACTTGCTCCAAGCTCAGGCAGATCTCTGCTCTCAGATCTGCCCATGCTGTCCCTCACTGTGCTCCTGCCAAGTGATTTCAACACTGCTGCCCATGGGCACGGAGCTGTTGTACTTGTGGAGTTGTGTGAACTCCCAGAAAAGCTGCAGTCTGCAATAAAATGCTCTGCTTGGGTATTATTATTCCCCAGTCACATTCACTGGCATTTTCCCAGGGAGACTCACATTGTTATACTGCCTCCTGGTACTTTTATGCTCGTGATATATTTTTTCCCTGTCTTTATGGCTGTCTGCAGCACTTCTTAATTCAGGCTCCTCATCAGATGGACCCCATACAGTTTGACAATCATTCTTAAACATGGGGAATAAGGTCAGGACTAATGTTTTCTAGGCACGTTGGGGCTTGTCTGCACTGCAGTGGCAGTGCATCCCTATGCTGGAGTAGGGTATGAGCATGCCCAGCAAGGCTGCTCCAAGGTCGTCCTTAGTGCCCATTCTCAGACCTGCCAGAGACCACCCCTAGGTGATCGCGGAGCTTAAATCCTCTTGACCTTCAGTGAGATTTGGGCTCCCAAATGCCTTGCTCACCTTTGACAACGAGACTTTGGCTATTCAGGCAGTGACGTGCTTCTGAAAGTATTAAGCCAGACCTCCAGCACCTGCCAGGCCCCTGCCCCCAATAGCACATGCTTCTGTTTCTTCCCAGAGATTACTCTCAGCTTATTTTCCTAGAAAAATAGAATCATCATAGAGCAGCAAGGCTGGAAGGGAGCTCCAGAAGTCATATCTAGTCCAGCCCACTGCATGAGGCAGGATCAGCCCTGTCCAAACCGTCCCAGACAAATCCATCACCTAACCTTTCAGTAAAATGACCCTCGGCTTTGACATAACACAAGACATAACTTGCTAACCTGCCGCAAGTAAAGCAGCCAATGTCCTGCTTCTGTTTTCCATTGAATGGCATTGTTTTGGGAAGGTTTAGGGGCCCAGGTGCTGGGGTGACCTCCAGAAGGAACCTCAGGAAGGCTTGAGCCGAAACGTCGTCATGTGGAAATAGAGAAAGGCCTAGAGCCAGTGGGGCTGGCAAAGGGGCCGGGTATTTACCTAAAAAAAGAAACGGCTGGCTGTTATTTTTGGGGGGGAGGGATGACCTGACACATGCTTGTCCCCATCCTGAGAGCTGCCCTGTGAACTTCAGCTGTTTCCTCCTACTCTGCCCCTCATTTGACCTGACTCCTACAGATTTACACTCGTGTCTGTCTTGACATGGCCAGGTTCCTGGTAAAGCCATTGGCAGTGCCACTTCTGCTCATGCCCCAAGCTACATCTTTGAGAGCACCAGGGAAGCCCTTGGCCTGAGCACGCAATTCCCTTTCCCTTCCACGGGAATATCCTGCCTGGTCTTCGGAGACAGGCACCGGAGCCAGGATTCTCCAGTGACTTCATGGGCCACTGGTGACCTGTGGAGCAGTTGCCGGTCACTTGATGCCCATTCTCCTGTTTATTTCCAGTTGCTAAAGTACATGAAGATGGCTAAAAATACAGGAGATGCTTTACTATGTAAACAGTTGCTATGGTTGCCATGGCAATGTTATCAGACACCAGATGGGAAGGGAGGTGGCCCATCCTGCAGGCGAATGGGAGGGGAGGTGTGCCCTGGGCTATCTGGGCGGTAAGACTCAGTCCACACTTGGAAGAGATTGGAAATTTCTACTGGCTTTGTGTGTGGGCATGAAAACATCACCAGACATTTGCAAGCTATTTTTCCTTCCCACAAAGTGACTGGAGGCAGTTAAGTCACAATGCACAAAGTACTTAAATGCTTCAACTCATACTCCAAGTTAAGCCCAGGCTTTGTTCGGTGCTTTGTTTAATCAGGGGCTTCACCTTTGATGGATCTCTAATTAAATTAAACCCAGGACTTTAGCTAATGTTATAAAGTGGTCTCCCAAGCTTTTGTGGCATTCAGTATGACCTTAGTTAGTGACAGAGCTGCAGCGTGAGATTGCCATCTAAAAATAGTCTCGGGAATCTCGCACATTAGCCGTGTTCCTAAAGAACCAGCAGGAAAACCATTCTCAAGCTATTGACAGGTACTTTGCCTGCTGCAGTCTTCATCATGTGGCCATTTCCTACCCTGTGAAATCAATGCAGGACGTGAAAAGGGAGTGACTTTCTGCTTGGGAAGCAGTGGCTCTAGGTGCTTTTGCTGCAGAGGCACCACTGTTGGTAACAAAACCAGAGAACATGCTAAAACAAATCTCTATTTCTTATAGCATGAGTACGTTATGGGATCATTTCCCCCCCAGCAGACCAGGAGTTTCCCAGCCACCCTCGGAGGGAAGGAGTTAATATTAACCATTCATATCAGCACCCTGTCGCCAACACCTTGTTGGTCCCACACGTGGACCTGGGTTGGATCATGGGCACGAATGGCGCAGGGCCCATTCCAGCCCTGTCACCAGAAGATGTTAATTTCCAAGCAGATAGAGAAAGTTTCACATGTGGTCATGTGTGTTTTTCACGTGTTTTCTGTTTAAATCTTTGTTACTGGTAACCCCTGAGGCTCAGCTCAGAGTCACGATGTATTTACATACGTCAGCCACTTTTCCGTATCACGGTGGGCCCTGAAAGGGCCCCATTCACAAAAATAAGACCTGGAAGTATGTGCTACATCCAATCTATCCTCGCTGTCCATTCTGGAAGACTGCAGGGTACTGGCAAGCAGATAAAAGGGACAGAAATGAATGCATAGGTCATACTTGGGAATCTCAGCGCTGACAGAATGCCTTTAAATAATGCGATTGATGATGGGATGTTTCAGTCTTGGGGAGCTAGGCTGCCACTTCCTATCTCCTCCTCCTTTATTTTGGGTGTTGATCCATGGCAGGCAGCAGTGATATCGTTGACAGGAAGTTTTGGATTGCAAATAGTTTTTGCCCTATGTTTAACTCAGGGCTCCCCAAAGGTTCTGTCACTGGGTCTTAGGTGATGAATAGGCTGCTAATCCCTTGATGGAGTGAAGTGTATTTCCAGGGTTACCTGAACTCTGAGACTTGAAAGAAATCCATTGGCACTATTACTGGGGCATTTGAAAACCTACTTAAGTGGCTGACTTGATAACTGCATGCTCACATGGACACTGCATCCGGTCACGTGACAAGCGTGGACGTTAACACATTTCTAAACAGGCGCTGTTGTTAAAAATGTCATACGTGGGCCAACACTGACACATTCTCCACTGCTTGTTATTGCAGTTAATCTCCCGTGTGGGATCGTTAGCATGGCACACATGGAAACTGAGAGGGAAGTTGTGCTTATTGGAGCATGGCGTAATAACCCTTTTCTATTTGCTGCTGAGGCGGGAGTTAGTCTTTATCATCTCACTGGCTTTTTAACTCCAAAAGCATTTGCCGCATTTTTACTTTGGCCTCTTTGATGAATTAGCACTAGCTTTCTTTGTGTTAAATCTTGACTCAGTAATTCCAAAGCAGGAATGCCTTCTCCCAGTCCCCAAAATCCTAGAATAACCTAGAATTTCTGAACCACACCAGAGAACCTAGTGGATAATTCTAATCCTGCCGTGCCATTGCGTGGGATGACTCAAATAGTCCACAGAAAGAATAGCATTCTGCACCCTTAGTCAAATAGGTTGCCATCTACACGGACCCAGGAGTGTGACTGTGCTGAAAATTTGGTGACAGTTGTTAATATATGTTTAAATCAAGCTCAGTAGGTAATAAGGTTTATTTTTATTTTTCAAATAGCTTTGAAATTGTAGGAAAGCAAGCCAGAGATATAAAACAAGATTTGTTGTATATTCCTTCTGCTCTTGAGACTTGTTGTTCTTTGAGCTCTGAGGGAAGGAGCGCAATAAGTTTGCTCCACTACGCTTTCCCTTACAGTAGCTGGCCATTCTCAGATTTGGCCTCCTTCTCCAGATCCTGTCTTCCATGTGTGTAGGTTCCCTAGGTAGGAGGCTATTAGCTAATTGTGCCATGTTCAAGAAGGCCATTCAAAGCTCTTCTAAACAGGATTGGATTTGTGTGTCCTCTGGCAATAGTCCAGTCCACTCCTGGAAGCTCTCCTGGGTAGCAGGGCCTGAAGGTCAAGTGTCTCCCTAAGCCCTGCTCCCTGCAGTGTTTCCCCAGCTCCTCCACAACTGGGATTTTCTGCACACCACTTTAACACCCATAATCAGAGTAAAGGAAAGAAGAAGGGTAGGTGTGATTCCTAGAAGAGCTCTACTCAAGTTTCCGGTTCCTGTTCTTCTAGGGCTCTATCAGCCCTCTACCTGCCTGTCCATCCCACGTGTCACTGCAGCAAGGTAGTGTTGAGCTGGGGGGAGGTGGGGGGTGTTATTCACATGACGGTGAACCCTCAACTTGAGGTGGAGGCATAGACCTACCTGTCCTGTTGTAGCACTGCAGAATTCAGTACAGGGGAATTTAGCCCCGTGTCATTATATATGACTGAAAGGTTCCTTTTGTAAGTTGGCTTAGTGGGTCATATATAATGCATTGTCTTAATGGAGCCATCCCCTAATCAATGCCAGGGAGATGAGTGGTGCAATAAGAACTGCTCTTTATATGCTAGATAATTGTACAAGAACAGGTGTACAATAATGCAGGGAAGTGCAAGACTCTCTGCAAAACTAGATTTAATGTAAATTTTTCCCCTGAGCTACAGGGAAAGAGCCAGGGATGGGAAAGACCCATGAGGTCATTCAGGCCCTCTGCCTCCTGCTAGAGTGAGGTTGTTCCTTACAGTATGTGTGTTTGCTTTGTTCCTCGGTGAACGTGGCACAGATTCCCAGCTCTTTTCCTGGTTGCCTGGCATCATCAGGGACTGGGCTTTATTTCATCCTGTTTTGGGGGAAATCATAGATGAGTCTGGGCTAGCTTTGATCCATTCAGGTCTAGTCAGGATTCCAGGTGTCCCATGCTATTCCCTCATTCCACGCCCCCCTTTGTCCTCAATATATGTGATAGCATATTTGCCCAACAGGGTACTGCCCTGCCATTGACAGAGCACCCAAAGATCCCAAAATAGAGCCATAGTCGTCTACTTCTGGGGATTTGGACTTACTGGTAACACAGAACAGTGGTACAGCACAGACCACAGCCTTAGCTGTTCTTCTGCACTTGGCGGTGTCAAGGGCTCGCTGCAGGAAATCCCCTCTCCTGGCCCCTACCCCTCCTACTCTGAAGAGACCCACCTTTCCCCCTATGGCCTGGTAGTTCTGATTGGAACTGGAGGTGTAATTAGTCACAGTCATCATAACACAGGATCCAAGCAGCCTGGTCTAAGAAGACCTGGTAGAACAGCCCTGAGTCATCTACAGATGGGCCAGGGCCCATCATTACCATAGTACAGCTCTATGCAAAGGGACAAGGGCCTGTACTTTATGCTGCCTCCATCTATTTACTCTGTTCAGAGTAAGGAAGTCCAGTATGCAGCTTCTGCTGAGAGCCAGCTGCTCTGCATAGGGATGAACTTTGGTTATCAAATAAGAAACCCTAAGTAGGCTTTATCCCAGAAGTCCCGAATCTGTGCTCCAGGCCTTTGCCTCATGGAGCTGATTTCTTTCCTGTGGAGGCGAACCATCATTCTCTCAGTCTCAACCCGTGGTGCTTCAGTGTCATGTTCCTGTTTATTTGCTGCAATGTCTCTTTTGCTGTTATCTGTCACTTCGCACATCCAAATTCAAGTTTCTCTTCATTCCCTCTCCTTGCAGGATGCATCCATCGCACATAGATTCCACATGATGAGAGAAAAGCATCCTGAGAAATTCAACAGCAGGTAAACCCTCTCCCTGTTCTGTCTTGATGCTGGTGGGGAGCGTTTTTTGGGCCCTGCCAGGAAAGCTGGGCCTTAGAACAAGCTTGCTTCCTTACCTAACCTGCCTCCTGGAAGAAACGTTAATAGTCTAGAGGACAGAGGGGTGCAAGGGCAAAGCATTCATTGCTCTGTCATGGTCAAAAGATGATTCCCAGTAGAAAATTTTGTGCACAATCAAAATTTTTCCCGTGGAAAAATTCAGTTTGGCCAAAACTGTTTTCCATAGAAGAACTGTCCACCTGATGCAAAATTTCTATCAGGTCTAATTACAATCATGTAAACCTGGGCACTGCCTGAGACTTTCCCAAGAACTGTCTGACACCCCTTGCTCTCCACATTTTATTCCCTTTGCTTTCCTTTCCTTTGCAGCACTCACCAGTGTGGCAGTCTCATACATAGACCAGCAGAGGCCAATCATTTGGCATGTGTATTGCCATAAATTAAGCCCTGAGTCCTTCCTGAGTGCTACTCTGATCCCCTTCCTCTACCTTATCTAATGCTCTGCTTTCTGCTTCCTGCTCTGTCTTCTGCTGTGCCCCCCTCGCCGATCTTGCATGCAACACAGAGCCTGTCCATGCCACTTGTGGCATGTATACCTCATGTTGGCCACCACTGCTTTTTATATGCTCACCCCACTTCTCCACCTCCACCTTTGTTTCCTTTCCTGGGCCGTTTCTTTTCCCACTGGCTACACCAGTGAGAAAAGTAAAAACAGCTTAATTTGAGCAGCAACACCTAGAAGGGGAGGAAATGCTGTATTTGGCAAGTCATGTACAAATGTGTCTTTAGGGCCAGACCAGACTCCATCCTTCAGGAGTCTAAACGGTATTTAACAACCGACTGTCTTCTGCACAGTGCAAGTCTCTGAGAAACTGATAAAACAGAAGGTGGGTGGGTCTTTTTCTTGCTTTTTGTGGAATTGGTCTTATGGTGTGTTTCAAAAGTAGGCCCATAGACAATTTGTCAGGGACTTAGCAAGGTTTAGTATGTTCACGCATTGACACCTAACAGCTGGAATAGGATCTAGTTCTATGTATAGGCATATCAGCCCCTGCCTTCTTCATAAGCATGGTGGAAGATAGAGGAAAACAAAGATTGGTTCCATGATGCACCCAGAAGATTAAAATCTAGGTTGATGATGTCACCTGTCTATAAAGCAGTGAAATAACTCAACTGGAGGTGGGTCTTGGTTGATGTCTCTCTGTGGGGAAGGAAACAGCCATGAGCAATATTTGTATTGGGTCTTTACGTTACTCCGTTCTGTGGGCCTGGAGAGGTAAGCTTTTCATGGGAAACCTGCTGGAATTCAGCTGTAGGTGTAATTACATTTGTTCACATTTAATATTTACCTACCAGTATCAGGACTGGCAAGTACAGGCTGTCTAGCAAAGGCAGAGCTGCAGGTTCCAACTAGCTCGGGTCTTACTTGGTGTTGTTCAGAGTGGCACGGTGACAGGAGGAGCATGCTGCTTGTGAGCTGGATCCCTACTTTCAGAAATGCCTATTAGAAAACCTTCAAACAAAGCAAAGAGCCTCCAGCCCAGCTTTGCTCTGAGACACAAAACTCACTCATCTTAGGACAGCTCATCAAAGCACAAGTGAGAGACTGAAAGCATGCCCAGAAAAGCAGCGAAACTCAGTGGAGATGTCACACTGATGTCCACTTTAATTTCCCCCTTCCCATTCCTGCCACCAAAAGCTAGATGAATAACAATTAGAGAGAACATGTCCTTCAAGGCAAATCTCCCTTTGCTAAAATCGCAAGCTGCAAACTTGAGCTCAGCTTTGTAATTGTTTGTGTCCCACTGAGTTATTTCTGGCCTGGTCTGTGTCCCAATGATAGTACATGTTTGGGCACTGGTCCATAAAACCCTCACTCAGAACCAAATTCCACCCCACCAAAATCAAGTCCAAAACCATTGACTTCTATGGGATCAGTTTTTAACCACATTTTTGTGACCCCCTAGTGCTCTGGGTCCATGGGCTGGACACCGGGGCTACATCGACAAGAAGACCTAGGTGCTACAATGCTTGGTTGCAGCAGTGCACTTTTAGGCAAATAGTCAGTAATAGAATTCACAGCCCCTGGCTCCCTGGACTATACGTGGAGAGGATTAGGCACCTCAGAATAGGACTGAAAAAAGCCAGCATCTAAAGTAGGGCAGCTACCTAAGCTAGCCAATAGGAGATGGCAGAGAGAGAGGTATGGTGTAAACCGTGCCCCTCAAAGCACTGAGGTCTGTGTGGCAAAAAGTCATAGAGAAGTGGGCTGGAAGGGAACTCCAGAGGCTACATGGAGTCCAACCCCTGCCTGAGGCAGGATCAGCCCTATTCAAACCATCCCATAAAAATGCATTGTCTAACTTTTTAGCAAAACTGCAGAGTTGACCCTGATATAACACAAGCCATAACACCTGAACCTGCCACAGGTAAAGCAGGGGAACCATGGAAGCCACCATCTTGCTTCTCTAAAGGTTATTAATATATGGTCAAGATATCCCAGGTAGAGGGCTATGTCTCTCACTACAGAAGACAGCAACCCCCTCCCCACACACACACCCTCTCCCCCAGTCTGTACCAATCTGACCATGGGGTAAAATTCCTTCCTGACCCCAAATACGGTGTTGGTCAGAGTCTGACCAGAGGGGCAAGACCTTCTAGCCAAGAACCTCCAGCTTTGGTCTCAGCAGGAGCACTGGCACGGCCTAGTCAAAATCCCCAGCCTTGGCTGTAGCCAATACCCAGTGCCTTTGATGAAAGCGAAAAAATGGCATGATTGTTCGTGGCATAAAGAGCAATTCCTTGGATAGTTTCCAGATGTGCTTTGGTGGCCCCACCCCTCAGCAGTGATTGGCAGAAGCATATACTGTATAATTTAATAGCAAATTCCGTGGAAAGTAAATTACATCATATCATTTATCATATTATTATAAATCTAGATATTACTACTAATATGTTAAATTGTTTTTATTAAGGGTAACATAAATTATGTTAGTTGTTAAATGCTAGCATGCAGCATCCACCAGCAGTTGCAGCTGACAGCTTCTGTCTCTGTGGTGTGAAGACTTGTCCGTACATTGAGATTTCACGTTCTGTGTCTGCTGAATTGGTTGTAATTCTAAGTCAGCTTTTTGCCAAGTTGTAGAGATATGGAAACTGATCAGACTGAATCCCAAAATTCAGTTACATTTAAAGGCATCTGGCACTCTAACAAATCTCATGCAAGTAGCACATTCATTAGCATGCTTTTCTGCCATCCAGGGATTGATTTAATTAGCCAAGGGTCAGAATGCAGAAAAGATACCTGATTTGGGTCAAAAATGCAAACAGCACTAAAAAAGGAGGCAGTCAGTTTAAATCAAGGTGGTAGTGACTGATCCTACTTGTAGTACTGATTTAAATTTGTAGCTGTTGCCTAGACCAGTTCTTGTCTGTGCTGGTTTTCAGTTTGACCCTCTGAAAGCTATTGTGATGCCGTATCTTCAACCCAGTTATTCAAATCAGTTTGTTATGTGACTTGTGAATCAAAATCTGCTTCAAACCATGTTAGAAGCTCCATCAGCCGGATTGCTTTTTCAGCCACAAAATTAACTTGATCTTCACTTAAGCCCTCGTGCCATAGCGTTGCTGGGCACAAATCATGACAGTGATGCTACTGTGCAGTAGTAATGTGCTTATGTGCAGTAGCGTCTAAAAATAACTGTGCAGCAATGGGACTGTGCAGTAATGCCAGTTACTTCACAGTTGTTTAGTACTTGGTTAAACAAGTACTAAATGACTGCACAGTAAAAACTGCGCAGTCCAGCATATGTAGATGCACCCAGTGTGCAGGGTGATGACAGGCTCTTCACAGAGAAATTGCTGGTAGGACTTAATATTCCTTTCATAGTTACGAAATGTGTTGAACCATAAATACCATTTTGGAAGCACTGGTTCTGATTGAGATTACACGGTTGCATTTAGATCCTCATTTTGATTGGCAGTGGACTCCCTGTATCAAAGCTTACAGCCCGGACAATGTTTGAATATTTTTTTGAAGAGGAAACCCGGGTACCCTCATCAGGAAAAAGGATGCACTAGATATCACTTACTAAAGAAAGAATGTGTGTGTTGCAGGCGACATGAATTGCACTAGACATCATTCCATGGAGCACATCAGAGAAAGCTTTGCATATATGCATTGCATTATCAGAGAGAAATGCTGAGATCTTGTTAAATTCTATGCTGTAGTTTACAACAGCCCTCACTGCAGCTTGTGCTGCAGTTGGAAAATTTACAGATGTGAGTTGAACTGGCTGTGTTTGAAAAACAGGCAGGTCGTGGTTTTTCCAGCTCCCAGGCATAAATGATGCATGGCCCTGGAGGTGACTGCCTGCAAGTGGTGGCAGCGGTGAATGAGGAGCTCCTGCAGGCAGCCTCAGCGGTGTCAGGAGGGGAGTGGGGGCGCATAGTGAGTGCCAGCTGGCGGTTGGCGACCACCCGCAGATGCCACCGGCATTGTCGGTGGCGCTTCTCTCAGGGGATCTGCATGCACCCCCCCCATGCATCGTCAATGCTCCCAGGTACAAATCCAATGTGAAGTACATAGTTATGTTGTGCATCTGTTGCTTCATCTCCTACAATTGAAACTGATTCATATTCTGCCAATGCAGATTTTGTAGACTGAACATGCAAAGCAATTACTTATGGTAGGTAATCCTGGCAAAGTTTGTTTGCACATGGGAAACTGCCAGCATTTGGTATGTGCTTGTTGAAGCAGTCCCTTAGTTTCAGGTTATCAGTTTTTTCCAAAGGTATGTTGGCAGCAGTGAATGCCTACAGTAGCTTCTCTTCTTGTTAAACTGCTTTCAGTGGTTCTTTTAAACAATCAAGGACATTGTCATCTGTGTTTTTTTCTGACCTTCAGCCTCTGCAGAAGCCCTTCGCTTTATATGCGCTTTAGACTTGATCAGTGCTGTTTT